AAAATCGACCCCCAAGAAACTCAAGTTCATAGGCTATGCCCTCCTAAATGAAACTAAGGCAGATATGACCCAGAAATTTAGAGACCAATGGCATAAAGAGTTAGGATACACAATAGATAACAAGAAATGTGAAAAAGCTTTATTGGCACACAAGGGCCTGACCTCATGCACCACACACATTGAACTGCAACGTAAGATTCTTTACCGGTGGTACCTGGTACCGGAGAAACTCCACAGGATGTGGCCTACATCTTCCAAAACATGATGGAGATACAAGGAAGAAGTGGGTTCTGTGCTCTACATCTGGTGGTCATGCAGGATGATTAGACCCTTTTGGTCTCAAGTAATAGACTTGCTCACCAGAATCATAGGTCACCGCAGACTAGATAACCCAGACAGGTCTGCTATTCATGCTCCTGATAGAATTGCAGGAACATAGAGCAGTCATACCTCATAGAACAGTCTTCTCATACCTTCAAATCAAATCATACCTAACACGTACTCATCTGGTAGTACCACGTAATGTGGAAGCTAATAACCTGTCAACCTTTGAACTCACCTGCACGCAAAATCGACCCCCCAAGAAACTCATGTTCATAGGCTATGCCCTCCTAAATAAACTAAGGCACATATGACCCAGAAATTTAGAGACCAATGGCATAAATAGTTAGGATACACAATAGATAACAAAAAATGGGAAACAGCTTTATTGGCACACAAGGGCCTGACCAGGTCACCGCAGACTAGATAACCCAGACACATGTCTGCTATTCATGCTCCCGATAGAATTTCAGGTACATGAACGAGCCATTCTATACCAGGTTTTGATATCCGCAAACCTAGTGATCTCCAGACACTGGAAGCAAGCATTTCTCCCCCAGTGGCAAGACTTAATATCACAGGTGGAACTAAACTTGGCCTACGAATCCATGGCCAGACAACAATTTGTATCTAATAGGGTAACCACAAAAGCTAGCCAGATATGGACCAAGCTCATGATAACAGAGCCCAGCACATGATGTTAGATGCAACAAACCACACACCACACCCACTCTCCCCCGGTACATTAAGTAAGCAAAATCTTGCCCCTGTGACCCATTGGAGAGGACTAACATCAGATGTGATGGGCGCCTGGGAGTGGAGGATGTTGGATGGGAAAGTGAACAACATTGAATTTAGAGGAAGAAGATCCACCATGTCATAGATTATAGCAGGAAAGCAAGCTTGCAACCCATTCCCCCTCCTTTCCATATACTTCCATTCAGTCCCACCACCCCACCCAAGTTTCACCACCTTGAGTAACACTACTACTTAACCCCAACCCTCCTACGGTCCACCTAAAAGTGAAAACGATGTGAGAATTCATAAATTGTCGTAGCATGCATACTCTACAAGCACCATAACCACTATAACACATTGCAAGCTATGAATACAAAAGTGCATTCATCCTTCCTCAAGATGAGTAGTCAAGCTACTTTATAATGGGTGGATTCTTATCTTGAAGCAGGATGGTTGTCTGTGTTGTGTCTCTATATATAGTTTAGGGCTTCCTTTTGTAGTGCAATGTTCATTTATCACTGGGAAGGCAGCTGCTCTGTGACATGTCATATCCCAGTAACCAAAGGGGGTTCATTCACCTCCTGAACGGGGACCACCCCAATCCCTCATTTAGAATGTTAGGATAGATTGTTGACACCTCAAAACATAGGTGTCAAACCACAAAACCGCAAAGGGAAACAATGAATGAGTGCTTCCCTGGGTGGCCGCCATTCGTACACGTGAACACCACCAGGGAGAGCATTCCCTATTAGAACGTTTACACCAATTAATCAGAATGTTCGCACTTGCCACATAGGTGTGAAACCGCAAGGGAAGTAATTAATGAGTCCTTCCCTGGGTGGCCGCCGTTCGTATAGAATGGGAGCATTCACACCCCGAAAGAACGGCAGCATTCACACCCCGAAAGAAGACGCTTCCCTTGTCAGGGTTTCACCCCAGGATCTTGAGAATGGAGATTAGTCAGGCGAGGGTCAATCAGATTTGTGTCGGCACTTTTGGGGTACTGAGGAGTTTGGCAGGCTCTCATGAGGCCCGAGGGACAAAGAGACCAGCTCTTTTCCCGCAGGTGGACTTTTCTGTGCCTTGGAGACAAAGAGAGGGTCCCTTTTTCCCATGCTGAGACTCCCAGGCACAGAAGCTCTTGGGAAGAAGACCCCTGGCGGTTGGTGTGGGAAACCTCTTTAGTGGCAGGCTTTGGGGACAAAGGGAACAGAGTCCTTTCCCGTACTAGGGACCCAGGGAGGTGGTGGATCCTGGGAGGTGACCTTGTATGTTTTGTGTGATCCACCCCTTGCAGGTGATTATGCATAAAAGCCGTGTGTGGCCAATAAAATTGTGTCTTACATCCTGGACTGCGTGTCGTCCGGTTAATGAGGGGGAAATGGGTCTATTTTTCAGTTACATGGTTCTTTTCCAGCTACAGGAAGGGAATTAGCGGAGGTAACTAGTCGGGTTACCCTGGGTCTGCTACATGTATGTCACTCGTATTATATATTTGCAATAATATAATTAAATGCACATATTTTATATCCAAATGTTACCTTAAAGGGACACCGTCACCTCAACTTTTTTAAAATATAATAATAATTTCATCTTGTTTTAAAGGTAAATAGATTTGTATTAAATAAAGTATATGTGAAGAAAATAGAAAACTAATCCCTATCTTTAGTAAATGACAGGATCCTTCAATAATATGCATTTATCTTGAGTCAAACAGTGTTTGAAAACCTACAGATTGTCTCCATGATCTTGCTCGTTTCACTCCCTGCACAGTAACATGGAAGACCAAAGAGACTAGATGTTGGAGTTCAAACACTGTTTGACTGAAGGTTCATGGATATGGCTGAAAGATCCTGTCATTTACTAAAGGTAGGGATGAGTTTTAACTTTTTTCCCCATATACTTCATTTAAAAATGTTTCCTTTAAAAACTTAATAAAAGGATTAATATATTAAGAAGAGTTTTGAGGTGACAGTTGTCGTTTAATATTTGCCAGCAAACAAGCATATGGAGTAGGTAAACTGGTACAATGCACATATAAGAGAATATAAATATTTAATCTTAGATATATTTTAGTTATTGTAATTTTCTGTCAGTTTAGCCATGTTTTACACATACAATTTTTCCTTATGATAAAATGCTGATATAATTTGCTACTTGAAATGAAATATTAGACTTTGGACCAACACAATGAGAGGTTTGAATCAGAGCCTGCAATATGTTTTGGGCAAGGCACAGTTGCCATATTGTGTGCTCAATAAGACTGTGTTGCTTTTAAAGGAACACACCACACACAAAAATGCTTCAGCTTTCTTGCTTCAGGTATGTTATTACACTTCACATACTGAACATATGTGTTGGGGAAGAGGGAAGTGCTTACAAAGCCTGCAGACAGCAAGTTAACAACTTTTTGTAAGATGATTTTTTACGTAACCCCAAAGAAAATTGCAGAAAAACATACATGTTTTCTTTGGGGATATATCTACCAAATTGTTAATATAAATGCATTGGTGTGTTCCTTTAAAAATAAACAGTAGGGGAATGGGAAAGCTGTCAACCGTTAAATGTATATGCCTTCTTGATGGAGTGAGTTTTCAGTGATTTTTTTTGAAGTAAGAAGCAGCAGGAACTTAGTATCCTTTTATTTTACTTGATTTGCATATATCTGAATTACCTATGAAATGCATTAAAACAAGAGTCACTTCAATCACAGAATGTCCTTCTAAGAATTTTATGTTAGAATTATATACATTTAGTTTGAATTTGAATTTTAGGAACTATAACCACATAAATTGTTGCAAAAGTGATCCAATGCCTTTTGAACAGAAAATATATAAAACATTTCATGTTGATTAGAAAATAAATAAAATAATGTTAGCAATAACACAGCTGAGGTCTGTGCTTTTTATTCTACTTGCTGTACAGCTGCTTATATTTTAATTTTTTTTTTACATTTCATTGGATGATGCCTGAGGCATAGATTAACCATGCTACATTTTATTATATGAAAGGTATTGTTTGTATAACCTTACTGTTAGAAAAACATTTGCAATGTATGCACGTTTTGCCAAAGGATGTTTGAGTCAGACCACCTTTATGATCCTTCTCTTCTTCAAGTTTCCTGATGCTTATCCTCCAGGGGTTTAGATATGTTGATTTAAAGAGAGATTGACATAGCAAAAAAACAGCAGTATATCCCCATGTGAGCCGGCAGAACATTGAATGTGAGAAGAAGATTCTTGTGTCACCTTTTCTGCAGCGGTGTTGCGTAAAAGAAAAGAAAATTGAAAATCCATACCCAAAGAACAGCAGAACACAAACCTTCTTGTTCACCTGTGAATTTTCTACAAGACGTTTAGCTTTTTGTTAATTGAATTAGTTCTAGAAAAGCCATTTAAATAGACAGCACTAATGTTTGATTTGATCAGCAAATTAGTATAGAGCAGTCAGGGCCGGTGCAAGGATTCTTGCTGCCCTAGGCAAGAATACATTTTGACGCCCCCTTATGAATGCAACTACATTCCTTCAGAAGTTTATTCACTAAACTCTGAATTACACTAAAGAGACATTTAGGGAAAGATGCGCACTGAGTAGATATTAAAGGGAAACTATAGTGCCAGGAAAACAAACTTGTTATCCTGGCACTATAGCTTCCCCCTCCGTCAAGCGCATCCCCCCTCGTGGTGCAGCAGGGGTTAAAACACCTTCTGTCACTTACCTGGGTCCAGCACCAATGTCTTTTGTGCTGGCTTGGGTCCGCCTTAGCTCCTCAATGGCCGCGCTCGCAGTGGTATTTCCGTGACTGGACGTCCCCATGCATAGCCACTAGAGGAGTTAACCCTGAATGGTAATTATTGAAGTTTCTTAAAAATTGCAATAATTACCTTTGCAGTGTCACTTACACAATCTCACTAATACACACACTCTCTCACTGGCATACACACTTACACATTCTAACTCTAACTTACACACTAACACATACACATTCTCACTGACCTACACATTGTCACTTGCACACTCTCACTAACATACACAGTGTCACTTACACACTCTCACTAACACACACAGTGTCACCTACATACTCTCACTTATACACACACACTCTAATTTACACACTCTCACTGGCATAGACATTGTCAGTTACACACTCTAACACCACACAGTGTCACACATGCTCACTAACAGTGTCACTTGCACACTCTCAGTAACTGTCACTTGCACTCTCTCCCTAACACATACTCACTAACAGTGTCACTTGCACACTCTCCCTAACACACACACCCAGAGTCACTTGCACATTCTCACTATCACACACACACACACACACACACACACACAGAGAGTCACTTGCACACTCTCCCTAACACACACACTGTCACTCAAACACAAACTTTACATAAGGTCACACTTTATTTACACACACAAACACACCAATTTAACACACTCCCCCATTTACAAACATGCACACAATAAGCAATCCCCCTTAACCATGCCATACCTGGGTGCTATGCTGAGCAGAGGTCCAGGCTGTAGGATCCAGGATGTTGCTCTTTCTCCTGGGGGAGCAGGAGAGCCATGCACTTTGAGCACAGCCTGCTTCCTGCTCCCTTCACAGTGCTTCCGGTGTTCACAGGCTCCCCCTGCCTGCAGGAAGCACAGTGCTCTGCTCGGGTTACAGCAAACCCCACTGCCCGAGCAGGTAATCTGCTGCAGAGGGAGCCCAGCAGGTGAGTGGCTGCGCTGGGGGGTGGCTAAAGAGACGCTCGTCCAGCACAGCATCCCCAGACAGCTACAGCAGGGCAGCCCACCGGGAAACCTCTCGGTGGGCGCCCCCTAGAGGCCGGCGCCCTAGGCGAATGCCTTATTCGCCTTAATGGTAGCGCCGGCCCTGAGAGCAGTGAAATACGCTGAGAAACAGTTCTCCATCACAGTAATCACAACATATTTGCTGTGATTCTTATTCTGCTTTGCAAAAGGCATATAGAAAAGTTCTAACAATGATGTGTTGGCAATAAAGTCATCATTTTGCCATGGAGGAAATGCCCTTGGCTTGGGGAAGCGGGGATGGAGTAAAGTGGGATAAGGGGTACTGGCGATGGGATGTTACCTTACTCTATCCATGAATAATCACTGGCCTGTAAGTGCTGGTTAGAATGTATGTAATGCATTCATTTTTTTCTAAAACTGTTAAGACATTTATCTTGATGATAACAAACGCATTTTAAAAAATGAATGTATGCAGAGTGTGAGAAATGTTAGGATTACTGCGAATCGTGTACAATTATTAATGAATCTCTAATTAAATGTATTGAAATATTCTCTCATGATCAGCAAGGGTAAAGTGCTTTTAGATTTTGTATTGATCTCAGTGTAGACATTTCAAATATAGAGCATTTCTATTTTCTCCACTTAGTAACACGCTGTTTAATTACAAGTCGATTCTGAAGTGGTTTTCCAAAAATCAAGGTAGAGTTATTAAAAGAACATTAAAATCTATAATTTAGATTTCCTGCTTTAGAAATAAACTGTGAATTTTTAGGAAATCACAATTGAATTGCACACTTCAGAACAATATGGAAAGATCATCCAACTTTTTGATGTTTCCAGCTGAGCTATTTTGGCATTAAATTTGAGACTCCATAGTGAATTCCTGGCAATTTGTGGTTTATTAGACGATCCTAACTGAAGTAGTTTAATATATGTAATGCTTTATAAATTAATGTTCAGTCCTGTTTTTCCAATTCATGGTATCTGATAATAGTTTATATAATAATAATAATAATAATAATAATAATAATACATACACCCCAAGAACCCACATCTTAATTTTCCAAGTCCAAATCTTGATTCATTCCAAAACACATTATGTGTGCTTTACATTTTCCCAATGTGAGTTAAACTACTATAATCATATGTAAGATCCTGTAGGATTTTGGTAAGATCAGCCTTGATGTGACTAATTTTCTGCATGACTAGAGAATTATATAATAATCTATCCACTGGCATGTCTCTCAAACACATATTCATAAAGCATGATCTATAAAGATTTTATGAAAGTGTTAGATGAGTAACTTATTGCTATGTGGTAATTAAATGCTGGTGAGGAAAGGTGCTGATTACCGAGTTACCATGCAAGTAAAAGAGAGATTAGCCTGTTTTCTAAACCCTCTCTCTTTAAATGAATAGATGTATGAATGAAAATCATAGACATTTAATCACGCACTTTTACAATATGAAAAGACAGCAGGGCAAGAAAAAAAAATATGATTTTAAAAATCAGTAAGAATATTAATATGTTATCAGAATTACATTCAATTGTAAAGCGATATGGAATTTGTTGTAAATAATAATAATAATAATAATATTAATAATAATGCAGTTATTGAAATATGCATTAATTTGTAAGTGTATATTAATGTTGTTAGAATGTAACTCCTGTCCTTGGTACAAGAATGACCTGCCCTGACCTTATAGTTCTACCCTGACCGAGCCACACCTTTTCAAATACTTGGAGACACTCCATTGATAGACATACAAGAGAGTCAATTACAAAAAAGGTGCACAATTCGAAATAATTAAGGAGTGGGAAGAGCTCTAAACACCTTAAGTGGTATCCCCTAAACCACTTTTACAAACATACAAAATATACATACATAAGGTGGAGCTGTTATGGTATGGATAAGTGAAGAGCCATTAACCTCATATGGCTCTGATGGAAAGCGTAGTAGGATACTTGGAGGAGGTCCAACTCTTATTGCTCCCGGTCTGTATTGTATACCTCTGGTAACCTGGACACAGGATGCTGGAGATTTTGTATATCAAAGATACTTTATTTAGGAAAAGCTCTAACATCAAATGAATAAAATAATAAAAATCTTTTGTAGTATGTGGACAATATAGTCCTGAAGTGTGCAAAGTAGTCCAAATAGTAGAAAACGTGTTTCGCCCCTGTGATGGGGCTTCCTCAGTTGGTTCAAGTCACTTGATGTATTTGCTTTGTTTTAAATAAGCCGGTTTGGCTCTGCTTCTGGTTCGGAGGTTGCGGTACGTCACTTCCGGTATTTCACTGCAATGGAACACATCGTGCGTTCCAGACGCCACATGTCTGTAATTCTGACGTCTGGAAACAATGTATCGCTCGGAAGTGCCCGTGCTTATTAAGAGAAGCTGATGGGCAGCTGCATAAACATGCTGCATATTCCTATTACTGCAGTGGGCTTACATAGCAAAAACGAATGAATTTGCATCATACACATTATAAATCTAGGATATCAATTACATTCTGATCTTAATAATTAAGTAATGTTACATATTGCAAATTCTATACAATTATGTGTCTTCTTAAAGGCATATATCTAAGATTACATAAAATATCATAAGTTTATAAAAATGATAAAAGATAATGATATTTGCATTGTGACAGTGAGAAAAATTAATAATAAAAAACTTTTTCATACTATTCCATATTCATAAGGAGTTTAGTTCATGAAGTGACATAGCTCAAAATCTTGGTTGAGGCCACGAGGGATCATTGTATTAAAATTAAATAGATTGCATCTCTTCCATTCCTATTTTATTGTTAAAATATTCCCCTCTCCAATCTTTTTTTTACTAACTTAATGGCACAAAAGAATAACCCTTCTGGGTTCTGATTGTGGTGTTGTTTAAAGTGACTGGAGGCTCTATGTGACTCCAGCCCTTTTTTGATATTTCTCATGTGTTCTGACACCCTTATGTTTACACAACGTATTGTTCTCACTATATATACTAGGTTACAAGGGCATCTGAGTGCATATATTACACCTTTAGAGTGACATGTCAGGTGGTCTTTAATTTTGAACTCTTCATTTATATATGAATTTAATTTTGTAATGTGTCTTTTTTTTTTATTTCTAGTTGTTCTGCAGGCTAAGCAAGAGCCGCATACATAGAATCCTGCACTCTGGTTTAGGAAACTGTTCTGTGGAATTGTTGGTTTTAAGCTGCTGTCAACTAGTGTGCCTTTTAGATTTCTTGCTCTTCTAAATATTCGTTTAGGTTTTGATGGTAAAATTGTTTTCAAATTTGGATCATCTTGTAACACATACCAGTATTTGCCTAATATTTTGTGTATCTTTTTATTATTGCTATTGTAGTTGCACAGGAAAGGGACCTCATTACTTCCCCATTTTTATTTTGTATTTTTTCTTGTACTCAAGCAGTTCTTTTCTTTTTAGAATAGAAAACTAAGGAAGAATCCTAAAGTGCGACGAGAGACCTAGTATGTCAGGGCTATGGGAGAAACCTATCCGTCGAACGCCAGGAACATTTGGAACCTGACGGAAAGCCACGCCAGCCCAAGCATGAAAGTCCATCAGCAGATGCCTTGTTTTTCCAATTCATGGTATCTGATAATAGTTTATATAATAATAATAATAATAATAATAATACATACACCCCAAGAACCCACATGTTTAATTTAGAAAATGGAGAGCGACCTCCACATCCCATAAGCTGGAGGTGGATGACACTGGGTAGTTGGTACCCAAGAGGATCCTAGTCCATTGGGAGTCCTCAGAACGGGACATGGGCCGTTGAGCCATCCCAATCACCACATATTGGATGTGGTGGTACAGTTCCAAACACCAATCAGACCGGGAGCGCCCAGATGGAGCAGTAGCATCATCACATCCCTGGGGCCCAAGAGACCCCCAAGAGGTCTCCAGCAGCCTGCAATAGTCTGCCGATCTGCCAAGAACCCCAAAAAGACCACCAGGACAGTGAACCCTCTAGGAATAGAAGATGTGGGTTCCCTTTGGGTACTTGAGAAATAGTAGGATATGATTGTAGAAGGAGAACATCCTCCCTAGTCAGTCCCATAAGGTCTGGGAAATAAGGTTGATTCTGTCACAGTGGGACGGCCAAGGCGGTGTTATTCGCTGAACAACAAGATGATGGAAATTTTTCACAAACATTGCAAGGAGGGGAAAGCATACACCCCCCTGGGGAGGCCCGGTTGGCCAGAGTGTCGTGCATTGTGGCAATTGAAGAACACATCATTCTGGCGGTCCCACTGATATATGTCTCCCCTGGGAGACAGTCCGACCTCGGGGTTCTGCGAGGAAGGTAGGAATCGAAGATGCCTTTCATGATGTCAGATAGAAGATGGGAGTTGGTTCCATCCAGACAAATAGTATACCTGACTGTTGACGCTCTGTCCATCCGTAGAAGGATGCAACAGATGGAGTACTTCTTTACCAGTCTATGGATAGTGAAGTATTGCATGAAGAATTCTAGGTATGCAATGTGTAGGGTCACAGTGTTGCAGTGGAGTACCGTGTAAATATTCCTTGAGGATAGAGGAGTCATTTGAAGAGGGGAAGCTTCTGTGTGCAAGGCGCAGAGTCGCTTACAAGTCCTAAAAAGCAGATCATCCACTACGAAACATGACGGTTCCAGTCAGACCTCAGAGAATCGTAGGTGTTGACGAAGTCTTCAGTTCCTTGAATCGACCCGAAGAAGATTGTCCAGGAAGATAATGCCGCGCCTTCCCCACATGTAATTAATCACTGATTTTGGTAATTTATTGAAGCCCCCAAGAATCAGGGCTGAGGGATCAGGTGAAGAGCCGAAGTTGATCGTGTCACAGGAAAACTAGATAACGTCACCAAGAGGGATGTATAACATATTCATCCTCACTATGCAGTATT